ACATATATATATATACCCACACACACACATAAACGAGCCAAAATTATTCATTACGAAAAGTTAGGGGTTGTTTGTCTACCTCTTAATAGTTCTATTAAGAGGTAGTCTCTGAATTGTTAAAAGACGAATCTTGTTTGGCAACAAAATCTGTCTCTTAATGGTTCTAAACCCCTCTTAATGATTTTGTATCATGAACCTCTCTTAACTATTCAATTCTCTAATTCCATTATAAACAATTATATTTCATTTTGCACCATATCATGAGAGCCTCTTAATCATTCTGACAACTTAATCATTATGCACTAAACCATTCAGCAACTGACAAACAACCCCTAGTGTGACTCACAACAATAAGTAAGGGGCTATTTACCAGACGTTTATTCGGGTAAGCGTTTATCAAGTAACATTATCTTACTGGATGAATATGATAAGTACCAAGAATCTTACTCGATAAGAATAAAGGCAAGTACCGAAAGTCTTACCCGATAAGAGCAAAGACAAGTACCGATAATCTTACCCAGTAAGAGCAAAGACAAGTACCGAGAGTCAAACCCGGTAGAAGCAAAGACAAGTACCTAGAGTCTTACCCGGTAAGTGAGAGGGATACTCTTATCATAGATAGCGTTTACCAGGTAAATTGTTGCATTTGATATCATTTTGATGGATTAAATCTTACCTGGTAAGTAAGTGATAATGTTGAATTTTGCTGATAAGCACTTACCGAGATAAGCGTCTGATAAACAACCCCTAACTATGTTAAAGAGAGGTTCAATATACATATATGAGTTATTTGTAAAAATGGAGAAAAGTTCTTTACAAAAAAGGGGTTGCTTAACCAAAGAAAATGATCAAACCAATTTGAATTGTAATATTTCCCCGTACATCCACTTCTTTGTTAAATTATCAATTTTATAATTTTTTTTTTTCATATTTATATATAATTTCAATAAATTTTAGACATATAACTAAAAAGTTATTTATTAGTAAGAAGATCTCGTTAATACTTCTAAGATGATATGAATGTTGAATATTATTGTTATTTGTTTAATTTTTAAGTTACTATAGAATATTAAATAAAAATAAAATTAAAACATAAATCTATATTTTCGTTCAGAAATATACATTACAAAAAAACATGAAAGTAAAAAATGAAACGAAACATCATCTGAATTATAATTTTATGAAATTACAAGACCAATTTAAAAAAAAATACATATTTCATATCAGACTGAATATCGATTAAGAATTTAGAACAATTTCTTTTATTGTAACGAGGCTGGTGGCATAATTCGCATTTATGAGGTTCGTTACTATGACATATGTCCATCTCATTACATTTTCAAAAGGAGGATGGTGGCAGAGTTCCGTATTCATGAAGCCAGAAAAGCTTCAACAATATATTCGAGTGAATTTCAAGATCTCGTGAAGATTTTATCTCTTGAGACTGTTGGTTTCTTGGTTTTGTAGCTTATGTTCTTTTTTGTATGTTCTACTTGGTTTGGAGGGTTGCTCCACCTCGGAGTGGACTCCTCTTTTATTGTATTTTTGTTGGTATGCTGCTGTGTTTCATAAAAATAGACATTACACGTTCCGATCCCGTCTATCATGTCATCTCCGTTGTGATAACGTTATAGCAACACGAGTATTTTACAACTCCGTCTAGGGATCCATGTTGAGGGGGCATGATAGAGGATTTTTTTTTTATGGAAAACCCAATAATTTTTCAAGATCCATATTACGTGGTTCCAAATGGCAAGGTTCTCTTCATCTTAGGAAAAAGAAAAATGAATGCTCTCGTTGAGAGTCGAACTCAAGACCTCCCGCTTACTAAACGGGTGCTCTAACCAACTGAGCTACGAGAGCTACTTATAATAAGCCTTTTCTTACAATTTTTTCTAATATTAAATCAAATTTCAGTCTCGTTAAATAAAAAGAAACCACCTTTTTTGAAATTAAATAGGAAACAACAATTTATGCCATGCCACGAAGGTCATCAGATATTGAATTAGTTACTCGTATCAACTTAATTTACTTTACCCGATGAATATGACAAAGACAAAAAATCTTATCTGATAAGAGCAAATGTAAGGACCGAGAACTTTACCTTGTAAATGTGGATCATTGAGACCTTTCAATTCATAGATGTAGATCTCGGACCTATAAATGGGGATAATCCCGAAACTGACAACATCAACCACCGATCACCACTGCCCATTTCTGATCCAACCATCACCACCATCGGCTACCTACCAGCACATCCACCACCATCCACATCTCCATGTGATCCACAACCACCGTCGGTCACCGACCACTACCGTCTCTAAATCCACCACTGTGGACCACCTCTGCTTACGGTACAATCACCATCTCTTCTTCCACTACCACTGGTAACCACCTTATAAAATCATTAAACAACACTTCGGGGCAACTCGACGGTCAAGTCATAATCGTGCCATACACCTGACATACAACTTGTCATCTTCAGTTTGATTCCCTTCTCGTAACAAACACTACCTTACTTTCAGTGATCAAATTTAGTTACATGTAATTATGTAATTTTCTAATACCGGGCGATTCTTATGATATTCACTTTAACCTATGGAAGATGACTTTCCAAGTGAATTTTAATATCAGTTAGATTGTTATCATGGTTTTAACCAACCATGCTGATTAGACGAAAATATCAAGGGAAATAAGTGAAAGACTATTAATTGTTCCAACAGTGATGAAAATGAACGTTCCCGTGTGCATTTTTCTTCAACAAAACCCAGTAAATAGTATAAAACAAGCAAAACACTTTAGTAATTCATTAAAATAATATATAAATGTTATATATTCTAAATCAAGTACCGACATATAAATATAAGCAAATCTTGATTACTTAGAATTCGTTTACCAAACGCTTACCGGGTAAGCACTTACCCTCAAGAATCAATCACCCTCAATGCACTTACCATCGGGTAACATTCTTGACCATCAAAATGGATAGTTGGTAAGCATCTTTTACCTGGTAAACGTTTTTCGGGTATTAGTCTTATCAATCACTTACTAGACAATATTCAGGATCCTTACCGTGTCTAATAACGGGTAAAATTTTTGGTCTTGACATGCTCACCTGATAAGATAAGCCGCTTAACTGATAAGGGTATGGTAAATACCCCTTGACTATGCAAAGCTAGACATGAGCAAATCTCCTGGGAAAATATGTTTTAAAACCAACTTTCTATATGCTTAAGCATGGTAAGACATATATCATGAACTCTTATCAGGTTGTCTTGTACTATATCCATATAAAGATATGGTGACAGGTAATTGTATCAACAATTTTCTTTGTTTTCGAGCAATGCACCGATTCCACCGGTAGAGGAGCTCCGGCAGTTAGTGTTTTGTGGTGTAGTTCAAAGGGTAAAAAGTCATTTGACCATGATTTCCAAACAGAACAGGGGTATTTTGATTCAGCCGTGGTCCCAAATCGAAATATTCTCATTAAGTTACTATGTGATGCATATATATGTGTGAAGGAAAAAAAGAGTGCTCTCGTTGAGAGTCGAACTCAAGACCTCCCGCTTACTAAACGGGTGCTCTAACCAACTGAGCTACGAGAGCTACTTGTTATACTTCTTTTGTTATAAATTTCATAATTTTAAACTAAATTTCATCCCCGAGATGAGTTTAGAGTTTAGACTAGTGCATCAGTGTCAATCATATCGTGGAAGAGGAGAGGAGGGTGTGTCTTCTCACCAGAACCCACTGTCCGGTTGTCCCAGTAGTATTTAATACCAATGGTACCTAAACGTCAAAGTTTAAACCGAGAAGTGTATTAAAAGTACTTCTTGTATATAAATATTTTTTTCGTTACAAAATAATGTCTACAAGTAAAAAAGATTTAACAACTTTAAAATCACACGGTTGTTATGATTTTTAGTTAATTAATTGACAAATTTATCTTTAATAAATAGAGTAATGGATTTATCCATTTCATAATTAATGATACAATTAGAAAATGGACAATTATTTTTGAAAATATACATTTATTTTCAAACAACTAAAATAGAAATACTTTAGAACAAAATGTGTATATGCTTTGTAAAATAAAAGATGATTGGGTATTTGGGTTGGACTTGGACATAACAATTCGGATATCTCAAACTCTCAGAAGTCATATTGGCCCAAAACTATCACAAATCCAGTCATTCATTCAGGGATCCTGAACGAATGATAATTTAGTACGACCACGTAATTAATTATATATGTTTTCCTGTTGATTAATAATTTAATATATTTGTTGGTAGAAGATACCAGAACTTATCTACCAATGACATCAATATTTTATGATCATCAGATAAATTATTGTAGTTTCACTTTGGCAAGTTCTATGGATAATTGATACATTCATTTTGAGTGGTGATGAATATCATTTTGATTTATTTATGGTACATGGATGAGATGAAAAAAGGGCCATAATGAGGGAATCTCAACCCATAAAACACGCTACGCAACGATTTAATACTCAATCTGTTCAATATGATATAAAGCGTAAAGAATACATACCTAATTCCACTGATGATCAGGTTAAGAACATGTGGGTTGATAGGTTTCTCTTACTTGATTCACAACTCCTGATACAAATAAGTGGGCATTTTAGCTCCATTGGAACCAAACCATCATCTTATGCGCCTATGGATGGTGATACTTGGTTCAAATTCTTATTTCCAACATATATACTCTACATAAACACTAAACCACCATAGATTATGGATCTTAGGAACTTCCTCTCTTGACTTTAACTTACAGGGAGCAAATCATGGTCCTCAATGTTTTCTTCAAGTGTTTAACCACTCAAAGATTAAGCTGGTATTAACCAAGTCATCTATTGTTTTTAACGTTTTCATCATATCTCATGAAAGGAAATAAAGACATGATTGTGGGTTTCATTCCTTGATACAAGTAGATTGGGATCAGACCAATAAATTGGAGAGTAGGAAATGAACTATAAAGTGTAGATGAACAACATCTAAAGGATTTGAACCCCATCGTCCATTGGTTATTGCTAACCTAAAATACATTTTAATCATACAAATAAGATGAATGATCAAGAACAGAACTTACCCATGTAAAATGTCACAACCCTTTAAGAGATCCGAGTCCAAGATTAAAAGGTTGGAAACAGCAAACTACTCAACAGCCATGTCTTTGATCCTAAAATGCATGATAACAATATCACATATCAAATTCTCATAGAAACTACAAAACATGAACCAAGTATGAAAAAATCATGAATTACTCGCTCATCTTGGTTCTTTAGAATACATGAGTCAGGAAGATGAAGATTCAGGAAAAACCTTGATTTTATCAGCAGGACTTGAAGCTTCATGGCAGAGATCGGTAGTCTTTGTTTTGTCCCTTGCCTTTTTCTTAGACATCCTTCTATGTTTTACTTTAATGGTGGAAGGTGTCTCTCCTCCTGGATGACAAAAGGCAGAAGAAATCGCTTTTTTATCATATAGTTAACTGTCAGCTTCATTAAAAACTTACAAGCAGGAAGATAAATTTAAGTCCTTCATAATAAAAGTATGAAAGCATGAACTCTGATTTCCAAACTTTGAATTTCAAATATGACAAAAATCTCATTATAGTTATAGAAGAACCATCTAAGGTGTTAAATTCGAGAAAAACCTGAAGAAGCTGAACAGGGCTTCAGGGTCTTACTAAAGTTGTGATTATTTCCACTCTCAGGTCCCTCAGCGACATTCCGTCGAACACCTTCCGACTGTTGGTATTCAGGACCATCACTACCATCACCATCGATCTGATCATCTCCTCCTGTCGAAGGCAACTGCGGGCCGATGATAAGTCTACGGTGGGAAGCAACTTCTTTGAGTTTCTTTTTCCGAAGTCTCTTTCTCTGGGCTCTTGTGAGCTTTTGAGACCCTGATCCACCCTCTTCCTCACTTGACGACGATAAGCTCCTTTCCTCTTCTCCCTCCAATTCGCACGTATCTGTACGATTCCCCCAAAATTCAGAATATCAATTGTATGGAGAGATTTATCAGAGAGTAACTGCAAATCACAATTCACATAAACGTAAGAAAGAAACTGACTAATACGATGATGATCCGAATTGGCGATCTCCCGCGCTAAAGTGAGGGTTTGTTCATCAAATTCGTTCCGATGAGGTGGTGGTGAAGGTGGAGCATAAAGCACGTTAATCAGGGAATCATGCAACTTTAGTTGTCGCTCTCTTCTCTTCATGGTGATAATTGCTACAATCGAATCAAAGCATTCATAACAGTTTTAAGGGGATTCGGATGAACAATCTATCTGTTGGGGGTAAATTGTATTTAACCGAAGAAGAAGGGGTCATTAGCACAAACTTCCATCCCTACGTCTTAATATCAAATTTTAGTAAAAGAGAAAACTACGATTTTCGTTAATTGTGGTTTTGAAATTATGATTTTGTGTTTATCGTTTTTTCTGTTCTTGAAACTAAATATATTAAAAATCCTTAATTAACTTAGGATATTATAGTCTTAAAGAATTTCTGAACCTATCAAAGTCAAATTTGTGTTAATAGATCTTGATTTGCATAGAAATTCCACAATTATAGTCTTAAGGGCCGTTTATCAAATACTTACCCGATAAGTGTTTACTGGTAAAGTTTAACACTATTATTTACTTACCGGGTAAGATTTTAGTCTACCAAAACGACATCGCATGTAACAATTTACACGATAAGCACTTACCGTGGTAAGAATCGTGACTCTCACCTACCGGGTAAGACTTTTGGTCCCTCTCTCGCTCTTACCGGGTAAAATTCTTGGTCCGTTTCATATTCATCCAGTGAGGTAATTTGACTTGGTAAGCGCTTACCCGGATAAGCGTTTGGTAAACGGCCCCTTAGTTAAACCGGCGAGTAGAGATGGCCAATCGGCCCGGCTCAGCCCGGGACCGGGACCGGTAAGGACCGGTTATGGGACCGAAAACCGGGACCGGTTGATGTTTTTGGTAGTTTCGTGGGACCGGGACCGGTTATGGGACCGACTTTGGACCGGCCCGGCCCGAAAATTCAAATAATTTTATAAATAAATGTATTTTTATAAGAAAACGTAATTTTAATTATATTAAAACGCATTTTTAAAGTGTATTTGAGTGACCTAATTGTAAATTTTATGATGTATTAAAAATATATATCATTAAAAAAATAAAAAATAAATCTTATTTTTTAATGCAAGAACCGGTTGGACCGGGACCGGGACCGGCGGCCCATAACCGGTTATGAAGTACCTTGACCGGTCCTATCATTTTCGACCGGGACTGAGACCGGTTACGCCGGGACCAGTTATGACTGGTTATGAGAAAGGTTAGGACCGATTGGGCCCGGCCCGGGACCGGTTTTTGGTCATCTCTACCGGCGAGACTCGCATTCCCGCTGGTAGTACAAGAAGAGGGACACCATTGGTTGCTCAAATCGCAGCCGAAAATGCTGCACTCTTCGAATAGGAATCCATTTTCTGAAAGATCAGCAAATATTTCTCTTTACCAAACAATCACTAGTACACTTAATATAGGAGTAAAAATACCAAATAGTTGTATGTTTTTTTTTTCCTGCATTTTGGTTTTTATGACCATCTAACAAAAAAATGTGGAAGAGATAAAAAAGATGTGGGGTCATTTATTTTCTTCTTTTTTGGTGTTTTAATTTTTTTAATCTATAAAAATGTATGTTCTTCCATAAAGAAATTGTATTATTTTGTTTTTATTTATAATTAAATATTTTTAATATAATTGTTTTTAATTTTTTGGTAATTATATTTTTAGTTTCTTATGAATTTAATTTCTGTCATTAACGTCGTTCAAATATAAACTGTTGAATATTTTTTTACAGAAGAGTACTTTAAATCTTTTTTCTTCATTAGAGACCAAATAGTTATATTTGTTATATGACCAAGAAGTCCACTATTTATGTCAATGTTTACCAAAATAAGCATATGTAATTTTATTAATAGGACATTCAATTGTTTGGCCTTATAAGTCATTCAATTATACCAAACAAATATACGTCTTACATAAATGTATTACAATGACTTTTTATAAAACATTTTTAGATGTCTTTTAGAATCGTATGTTTTATTTGGTAAAAGGTGCCTAAAAAATCAATTGTCTGGTCATATGAAAAAAAAATTAGAATTTAAACGTTTTAGTCCCTGATGAAAAAAAAAATACGATCATATGATGGATGCTCAACAGTTTGCTTTTGAATGAAGTTAACGATATAAATCGAATTAATAAAATACTAAAACCATAATAACAAAAATTATGAAAAAGCGAATTGTATAAAAAGTATTTGATTATTTTATTATAAGCAATAACAAATAAATATAGATTTTTATGTACTAATTATTTTATTAGATCAAAAAAATTAAGATAAAAAAAAGATATTTAATAAACCAAAAAGACTAAAATATTTTCAATAAAATGGTAATTTTCAGATAAAACAAATTTTCTATAAGAAATGATGATTTTAACATAAAATTTTCAAAATGATAATACCCAACAAACTTTAGGCAAATGACATTTTTTTAAATTTTTTTGTATGAAATATTTATATATAGGGGCACCTATTTTTTCATTAGGAATTGGGGATACATGACATATTAATAAGGAATATGTGTATGTTGTTTACTATAAATGTTTGATTCATGACTAGTTGTATATCCGCGCAATACAACGGGATGCAATATGTCATCTATACCTAGATAAAGGTTAAAAACATACCATTGATAGTATAAATTAAATAAAGGACGAAAGACATCTAATATTAAGAATTATATATACTAACAAATGGAATTTAAAGAACAAAACATCATCATTAGAAAGAAACAACTCCATTGTTATATGTCTACAACTAAAAAGAGGATATATCCATTCCATTGTTATCATTCCCAAGTTTCAAAATCATCTCCTACAACCCATATTCACAAACCATGCTTTCAAAACATAATTTTATAAATTCAATCTCCCTAATGTAAAAACCCTATATAAAATATTATAACCTTTTTTAAGGTTCCTGGAAAATCTTCCTTTACAAAAGAAAGTAGCATCTCACAATCATATATTTATTGTTACAAGTAAATCAAAAAAGTTGTAAAATGGACATGGAGTTCAAATTTTTTAGCTTCAAAGATAGATACATCTTCAAAAGTTACTTTATAGCTTATGAAACCTACCATTAATTACAAAATAATATGAACATATCTAATATTGTTCACTTTACCATGTACACATTTGCCTAAAGTAAAGAACCGTAAAACACATATTTTTTGCAAAAAGGGACAAAAAAATGGAAGAACTTTACTAAAAAAAATAAAACTTACAAATATTTAAATAGGCATACTCATTTTTACCCAATAATGCATCTACCTAGAAAATGTTTTAGAAAAAAAAACATCAAAAAGAGCCTGTATTTTCCAACAGAAAATCACATCAGGAAACCACAATTCTTACTAAAGATACGCTACTCAATTTCAAATCCAGTGCATACCATAACATCCCACTTGTGCCCTTGATTGATCACACCTCACATCTGCAGGACCATCCTAGCTAGAAGCCAAAACTGACATCCAATGCTGTGCTTACCCTTGTTGTTGGCAGGGATACCAATATCAACATATCTCATGGGAAAATTCCATGGTTGAAAACTCATACTCCCACTTAACTGCATCATAACATTGTTGAAAACCTCTTTCAATAACAACAAACAGCAACATCAAACAGATTTGGCCTTTGGGCACGAGGAATTCCAATCAGCAGCCACCAGTTGAGAAACCAAAGCATAACACAATTATTTCTCTTCCTTCTTATAGCATCTCCTGTAACAATAATAAAAAACAATCAGAATTAACCAGTTAACACATACAAATTCAAAAAGAAATAATCAAGATAGATTTTGCTTCCATTATGCATTCATCTATGCAATTGTTGGAATAAAATATCAAAATGATAAGGGTAGGAAGGACCACAAATATGTAAAGATGCAGCAACCTCTAAATATATTTTGAAGCCAACCTGTTTGAAACATTGAATAGTTGGAATAGTTGTTCTGTACTAACAACCCTCATACCTTTAAATAAAAAGATCATTTACAATACCCAATCCTTGACATCTTTCGATAGCTAGACATGATAAAGATTCTTTGTCCAAGAAGCCAATAAGTTGCTATTTCTAATCAAAGATCCACATAAACATGTAAAAAACCCACATGGTGACCAAATAGAAATTTGCTCCACAAAGATTGTTCTAAAACAACACAATCTTCTAAGTTGGAAGGTTTTTATGACGATTTTTATAGAGCATCAAGAACACGCTAATACATACAATAGATTATTAGGATCACATTAAGAAGCAAATTGGCAATAATAGAAAGCCAAAATAAACATAAATGTTACATAAGCTAGTGATAGGTACCTATCCAGTAAGAAGAGGAGTATCAGCAGCAAGCTTTGATGCAACAGGCCTAGGTGTACGTACAGGCCAAGTCTGAATAAGAAATACAGAAAGTAAGAAATCACAAGTGCAATGGATATCGAAAACTTAGATATGTTGATCATCATATTAGAAAAGAGGTAGAAAACCTGAAGCATGGTAAATTTCTTTTTGACACCTTGAAATTCAAGCTCCAAGACAGCGTCCTGTATAGAAACAAAATTGTTGATATTCAGGATCCCACAGGTACAAAATTACGCATCAGCTGATAACTACTCCCAAGTGATATGATCCCAATGTCCAATAGACTCGTTAGCGATAGGTCAGGTGCAACCATCTAACCACTTACAAAGATTTGTAGAAAACAATATGATAAGACAGTTATCTTATTCTAAACAGACACAACACGACCTTAATTAGCATAWAATGATCTGGTCTACCCTCCATCTCCATAAAATTGCATCTTTATATACCAGCTTGCATATTCACATCATAAGAGATGGGATTTAGGCTTAATGAGTCAACCATCTACATTATACAGAAAATAAAATACCTTCTATTCCTCTTATAGAGCTATAAACATCCTAGAACACAACATTGCTGATATCCTACAGATAAGTCATGCATTTCATTCATCACAAAAACAGTCCTGCTATATGCCAAATCAGTTACTATACGAACATGATGATAATATTAAAATTTATAAAAGGCATGTTCAAGATGGTAAAAGAAGTTTAACAAAAAAACCTTCAATGAGTATTGACCAGGTGGTGCAACATATGTTATATTTCCCATGGTATCAGGAGGTAGAGCAATGTGATGTTCCACTAAACTGTTCTCAAACACAGTCTATAGAGAAATGAGAAGAGAAGTTAACAATTTAGGGGAAATAAAGATTCTGGATACAGATGAACAGGCAAAACTTTTTTAAGTTTGTAAATAATAGGGATGTTATGACTTACAGCATACAGATCTCCACCTGTTACAAGATCTCCCTTGCCTGACATCAGAAAACAGATTGAAATTAACAAAATTTCCATAACAGAAACAGCTTCAGACTTCGGAACATAAGGATCCATAATTTTCTAGAGTTCAGGGGTGTATAGAGATTTCACGACCCATCCTTAAGATATTTAGAAAAATTGGCACCACCAGGCTACAAACCCACTCGTCAGTCAACATAATACAGTATAAACTACTGAAAAGAGGATAATGTATAATCACCTAGTTTTTTAGGCTGGAATTCCCAGAGTATATCCTTGTCAAGAGCTGGGACAGATACACCACGAGGAATGTAGACATCACCTGATCTTTTTGCAATAGTCTTAAGAGGCCTCTAAATCATGGGTTGAGAAATAAAAGAAACTGCAGTTGGTAACTCTTGAAGAAGGAAAAGCAAATATAGCACAAATATAGTTGAAACAAAAATACAGCAAACAGGAGCTTGCGAACCTGGAAACCATCAAATATATTCCCCAATATTCCAGGGCCCAACTCCACAGACAGAGGCTGCAAGTTAAACCAGAAATTTAAGCAAAAGTTCTTTACCGAAAGAAGTAAATGCAGAAGTTATTGCAAATAAGATCAAACTATAACAATCAAATACATACCTTGTGTGTCCGCAGAACAGGATCATTCACCATCAACCCAGCTGTTTCTTCATAAACTGAAATACAATTAACAATTTTGTTCTTAATATTGTGAATATGAAGATGTGCAGAGACAACTCAAAGACATTTGGTGCAAGACAGACACGACAACCACAACAATCCTTTTAAACCAAAGTAAAAAAAAGAGTGGGATCGAATGGAAAAAACCTAACAATATGGGATCGGGAATGATGGATCGCATTAAGAAGCGAAAAGAACCCTAACCGCATTGATATATGGTCTTGAATATGGTGCCTAACAATATGGAATCGGGAATGATGAGCGTGCTTGAATCGGGAATGATGAGCGTGCTTGAAAGTGTGTCTGGGAACCTAAATCAACATAGCAGTGATAATTTGAAGCTTTGAGTTGTACTTTAGGCTTCTAAACTTGTTTTTAAGACTTTAAGACTTTTTGCATTATAAGGTAGTACCAAATGCATTAGATATTGTATTTAAGACTTTTATGAAATTTCCTTTATAATGTAGTATAGATAAATATGATTTCATATCCCTTGTGAAAGAATTATTCACGATAAATACATATCTTGAAGAGGGACGTGTGACACAATGTGAGCGGTTCCAAGGTTTTCAACCGAACTCCCTCAACCCTCTCTCTATATACATATATTTAGGGTCTTAATCATTTGAGAACTCCAAAATATATCAGATTCATTGAACCAGCATAAGTCAGTCATTTAGGATAATTAATGATGTTATTTAATGAGACAATTACTGTTATTAATTAAATAAAAAATTAATACATGTTTTAAGGAAGTTCCATACTTATCTCTTTCTCTCTCATCTTCCCTCTCCTATCATCTTATTAACATACACATGGTGAACATATTATGACATAACTAGTGTTTGATATCGCGCGTTGCGCGATGACGATAATTTTTTTTAAATTATTGAAGTTAGCTAAATGAGTTGTTGATCACATTTATATATTAAATTAATAAGAATCAATATTACCTTTGATATATTAATCCACCCACATCATTTTGATTATCCATATATTTTATACGAATTTTACAAAACAACATATTAATCCTGAATACGGTGGAAACAGCCTCGGAACACACATTGTTTGGAACCACTTAGAGTCATAACTGGCTTTTTGACCTTTCATGAAAGTTGTAGTATATAGTAAGGGTTTTCTAACTGCAAAATACGAGTTTATTCTGACTTACAATTTGTGAGTTATACACTGTCAAAGTACAGAAGTTGCACTATCGGTAAAATCCAAATTCACAATTTCCCAACTAACTTTTATGATCCCAACTTCGCGTATTCAATCAAACGGGCAATTTTCTCCCCGACTATGGGTCCCATACTACTCCCCATTAACTGARAATCCATAATCYTAATTGCTACGGTAATACCTTTTAGTTACCTTATGTCTGTTTGAACAACCTCAGTTAATCTTGTCTTTCTTATTATGATGTATTAAAAAATTGATTGAAACTCGTGTGTTTGRTCATTTAGTAAATATACTATTTTTTAAATAATATATAAGAGTGTTATGTAAATAATATAATCGACAATGATCATAAGGTATTAGAA